TTTTTTGTGTGAAGTTCTTATTTTGGGTGTGTCCCCTCCTTAGCAACTATATTCAGCTCCAAGAGAGAGCTCTGGAATGAGCTATGAAGAAGAGAGAAGCCTGGTACCCCAACACTGAAGAAGCTATTTCTCCCTTGGTTCCCCTGCCTGGGACTCTTCCAGAATGAAAACATGGTGCACACCCAGGGCACCCACTTCTCACTTATGGACCTGAAGTGTCTTGACTTTCAGCAGAAATGGTACCCTCAGCCGCTGTTCAATTCTTCTTCCAGTCAGGAAGACCTTATCTTTTACATACACTCTGGAAGGAAAGGAAAGCTGCACCACCACTCTCAAGATCCCCAATTTTTCCCTTCCACAAGGACCACTCCTCTCTTCTCCCACAGAACCTCAGGTCCATGCCCCCATGGGAGGGCCAGTTGCCTGGGTCTCCTGGGGTTGGATTCCTTGAAAACAGGTTAGCTCGATTACCAGGGCCTCTGGGTGAGAAAGCAAATGGAAGAAGCCAGAGGAAGAGTGAATGGAGTGGGATCAACTCTGTGGGTAACTACGTGGGAGGAGAGATGAGAGGAGAAATTCCTTGGAAATTTGTGGCGGGCTGATGGGAGGATGGTGGGCAGGAATAGTTCTGATGTTTGATTTTGTGCCCCAGTTTGAGTCAGAACTGGGCAGGGATACATAGAGCAGTGGCGCAGAGTAGGCACAAAGCTCTCATTTCTGAAACCAGCTCTGCCCACAGGACATCTTGTGGAGAGTCCCTGGCAGTACAAGGCAATGTGGAGAGCACCATGTGGGGCCACCCCAGGGAGTGGAGTCACCATGGGGCACCATTGTAGGAGAAGTGTTCAGGGTACACAGCCTGGAGGCACAAATCTCTTACAATTTTCATTTAGTTTGCTCTCCAATTAAGCTTTCTTTCTTAAAAAAAAAAACCCAAAAACCTGCCATAGAAAAGTTTTGCATTTCTAGGCTTCATTAACAAGGGGCAGATACTTCTGATTTTGCTGAAAAGGATGGTGGGGAAAATAGCCTGAGAACTTTCTCTCCTTCACCTCTCAAGGGACTAATTATTTACCCTTCTTGCAAACTTTGGGAAAAAACTGAACTAAAAGCAATTATCTCCTTCTGATATGCATATACTTTCTTTTAGTTTGTCCTCCTAAAATAATCAGCCTACAAATCCACTTGGAGTTTCTTCCTGAGGGATTCTTTCCTGTTAGCTTTTTCACCTCCGCTCATTCTCTGCTTTTAAAAAGAGTCAACACAATCAACAGTTGATAGCAAATTATTGCTTGCTCATGGAGTTTTTCTTAGGACTGGACTCTCTGGCTGGTCACTCTGGGGGAAGCTATGACTTCTCTTAGTCCTCCATAACAACTGGACATCGCACAGAGGATCAGACCACATGACAGTGCTTAACAAAATTTACCCTGATCTCCTCTTGCGCCAAGTGTAGTCTCCTGGGAGCTTGTTAAAAATGTGGACTCTCAGGCCCTGCTCTAAACCACTGTATTAGAACCTGAGTTTCTACAAAGCAATCAATCCCTGTGCATTTCAATGACAGAGCAGCACTGACTAGACTCTTTGCTGGTAGAATTTTTAACTAGGAAATTGTGTATGAATGCCCTTCTTTTAGTCTCCATCTGAAGGGTTCCAGATGAAGGAACTTGAAGTCACATCTGTTTGTAATTGTGACATGTGTCCCAAGTCCCACAGCTGAAGATAGTTACCAGGAAAAAAGCTCCCACAATTTTATTTCTGTTGTGATATTACACTTTTTGAATGGCTTTTGCCAAATGGTCCAGCCTCTAACTTATAGAATCTGTGCAGACATGAGCTAGGGATGTTTAGGTTCCCCATCTTTGTCTTGATGGGACAGATGCTCTCCTGTGCCAGCGTCAAGTTGAGGCTCTTGGATAGGCAAGACTTAGAGTTGGAAATTTTGTTTTGTGGTACTGGGGATTGAACTCAGGACCCTGTGCTTGCCAGGCAGGTGCTTATTCTACTGAGCAATCTCCCCAGCCTCTATAGACTTAGAAATTTGAGCATCCCAACTCCCTGGGAGAAATCTTGGGATTCAGTCCTAAGTCAGAGTAGTTGCTGTGAAAGTCTCCCCAGTTTTAAGCTACGATGTCACAGAGCCTCAGCCTCGCGGCGTCATGTGGGAGCCTGCGGCTGAACCAAGTGCATCCCTCCACTTGCATGTAGGAGACCTCAGTGCTCCACCCAGATTGGCCTCGCCTGGAGACTCTCTTGCACCAAGCCCAGGGGCAGGGTGCTTGAAGATGGCTACGGAAGCTCCTTCTTTTGCTGAAACCCTTGTGTCTGTGTGATTCCTCATGCAGAGTACCAAAGGTCTTTTTTAAGTTATGTAGCATAGGTAGCAAGACAAGCATGGTTATCCCTTCCGAAATATTCACATTTCCAGATGAGAGGTTGCTGCTGAAAACTTTCCAGAATACCTGCTCCCCACATTCTGGCACCTCTTACAATGTGGGCATTAGAATTGGCCACAGTATCACTGAGACAACTGAGTGGAGTGCAGCAACTCCTCTTCTTGGTTTGCTTATTGATTTTCTATTGCCATCGACTAGGATAGCATCCCTGTCTCAGAATACAGTGCTAACTTGTGTTCCAAATTCATTGAAAAACCTCATTTTAAAAGACAGCTGGCATTTACTGACTACCTCCTGGACAGTCTATGTGCAGGAGATATGCAAGGCATGCTGCTTAAATTAAGGAGGTATGAATTTAGTGTGGGAAGACAAAATTACACAAAGTATTTGGGATTGCATTTGGGATTCTTCTGTGTAGTTGGAAATTCTATGGAAACAATCTTTGGTTGTTTGAGTTGGGGTTTGAGGTATGTAGAATGGTTTCATAGTTTGGAAAGTGGAAATGTGAGTTTTGGAGAGGCAACTAACTATGCGGTCGGATGGAGACCTAAAATAGTATTTGAATGGGCAAGCAAGCCTCTGGGAGATTGAATTAATAAATGGGCTTTCTGAAGAGTAGCCACCCACACCTTCTTTGCTCATTAGATCCGGGTAGTCAGGGTATCTCGTGGGGATTCTCTTCAAGATGCTTTGCTCATGAAAGTAGCATAGCAGGCCATCTCTAAATCCAGCAGATTCACAGAGGATGTGGGAGGAGTGGCGGCAGAAAGCTTGTAGGCCACGGCAATGATATTCTATCCTTAGGAGGCGCTGTTCACTTCCACTGCTGGAACTGGTTTCAGTTGTGTGATAAACCCAAGTAAGTTCAGAGTCAGCTCAGCATTATGACATGTTGGCTGCTTTGTCCAAGTCTGGCAGTGAGAATATGGAATATCTGTCTTTTGGTCTCATGTGTGGGTCTATGGAGGAGAGGAAAGAAATCGGAAATGTACCTTCTCCTGGGATCCCACTGGCTTGAACCATGGCAAGGACAGGGGGACTTTGATACAGTCCTTTGGATGCACACCATAGTAGGAGACTGAGAAATTTTCACCAACCCAGGGCAGTCGAAACATCATAGGTGTGAGTTGTGAGGTATCCGCTGCTAGTGGAGCAGGTGGGTCCTTCACCTTTGGAGGGGTTTGTGCCTACCAAGAGGGGCATATAAGAGCAGTGCCATGAGGTTCACTTGCACAGGTTTAGCACAGCTTGACTGAAAGAAAGGGGATGCCAAGATGATGGGTTGCAGGAGGGACAGGATCGAAGGGGAAACTCAGTGGTGGGAAGCTGGTGATGCTCCTGAGGACCGCTTGTTAAGCATCAGCAGCTGAATACAATCATTATTAAAAACTGGAAAACAGAAACCCATACCAAGAAATAGAAAACATGCTAAAAACAAAGGCGATAAAAATTCAGAAAAAGTTCCTACCTCGCCACTCTATTTCTATGCATGCTTTTCAGGATATTTTTGTCATTTGGCTTAGTATGACACAATATTTTGTATAAAATATTGCACAATATTTTGCATCTGAGCATAATTTACCAGCTCCATGCTCAGCGATGCCGTGCTAATAGTTTAAAATCAGCCGCCCACCGCAGAT